TAAGCCATAACTTGCTTGGCTATTGACGGCCATCTCATCTGAAACCTGATTGGTTCGCTCATGATCTGCATTGCGTCGTAGTCTGCATGTATTGCTTTGGACTGCTCCGCTACCCTTGTTGTTCATTATTTCATGGCCGGGTTGGTCCGTTCGAGATTTACATTGCACCAAGGTCCACCATCCTGACTACTTGTTCGAATACCGTCCATTTTTTAAAAATTTTTACTGCCTTTATCTTGGTTGGTCCGTTCCAGACTTGCGGTTAATTTTTACGGCACAGGTAGGACGAATTTTGAGCCTTCTCTCTGTAGAACTTCCTCTATTTCGAGCCGTTTGGTTCTCCGATTTGGCGATCTTTGGTGAGGGCAACGACTTCCACTCCACCTGACCAAATGTCTTTTCGCTTTAGTCCAATAGGCTTCTTCTTCGATTCGGCTCAGGGTTTTCAGTTTCTGAATTTCCTTCGTTATCAAAGACTGACGGACAGGGTAGATCGCAATGCGTTTGTTTATTGCTTCATCAGCATGCAAATGAACCCGTGTAGTTGGTCCGGACGTCAGCGCTCTCCGAGTTCCTAGCAATTATTCAATAGGTTGAAGTTGTTTAACATTCTAAGCCTGTAAGCCAATGCGGAAGTGTCAGGCGCTTTTCTCTTGTTTGGCGTAGTGGGCTATCATTACATCATCTGTCCCTTTTCCCGAAACTGCTCCTGAGATGAATCAGAGGATCGCTGTCCAAGTATGCGACGTTTCTTCCCTCCTCACATACGTGTATACCTGACACTCAACCTAACACGTGCTTGGGGTTCCACCAATCATATCGTGATATCTACTTCCTCAAAGCAGCCTTTTCGAATCGTCCTAACAGCGGTACTACTCAAGTTTTCTTCCAAAGTTCCAGATAACCGTCGTCTGAATCTGGCTGTGAAACTGTTGGAAAGCTGACTGAGGGAATGAGCAGTTTTTGACTTGGTAACCAAAACTTCGTAAGAAAAAGGTCACGAAATATCGACTCAGTGGATCTTATTTCAGCATGAAGGTTGACATGGAGGAATTAGTGAAGTTATGGGTCGAAAGACCTCTCGGAATGTGGATGGATCAAGTGGTTAGAGCGCGAATCTACTGACGGAAGGTCCGTGGTTCGAACCCGAACTCTGCCACTCGACTTCCCCTGTCTAGACTTGGGCGACCTGGAAGTATCCCAGCCCTCGTTCCTCCTTCGTGTGACGTGACAGCTGGGCACCGAAAGGGTGCTACAGCTGAACGATTAGTGATCATCAGGCCTGAGGATATTTTATACAACGCACACCTCCTGACAAATGTTTACTGTTGATTCACATGTTAGCTAATGGGTAGTTGGCGATTTTGAGACGAATAACTGAGTAATTTCTATTATTACCGCCTGACAAGGATGATCGAATCTTGCTACTGACGTTTTAAAGCGCTTGAGGACCCATTTCCACCTAGTGGCAGTCTTCTATGCTCTCTTGGCTGTCACATAGACATAAACCCCAAGGACACAACCAAGCCGATTAGCACACGTTTTGGCCAAATTATGTCGGGTGGGATCTGTGGGGTAGTGTGTGTGTGTGTGTGTGTGTGGAAACGCACTCACAAGGGACACAGCTAGTCATCTGATGTGGACCTGCGTTTTGTCCGGATGTGATCTGGGTGGAGAAGCGTCTTTGACCAAGATGTGTTTGTTCTGTTTTCCGTTCGTCAGGCAAGTGTCTGAGTGCAGCGTGCCTTGTTAGTAGTATCATTACGGATTGGTTCATTTGTCCATTTCAACCAGATTTCTGATAACGGTCCGGCACACCGGAGAAGCGTGCAGTGCAATGGCCTCAGTTTTGTATGGCCTGTTTATGCGTTTCCATGGCATTTTCGACAACCTCAGCGGGGTAAGATGCGCAGTTCTGCAATGCTTTCTGGTGATCTAGGTCTAACATGAATTTTGTGCTTACGATACGAAATCCATGTTGTTCCAATACTTGGGTCCATTCATATAGGTCCGAACCAGCTGACCTAGAAAGTTTCAACCCTATAAAACTCCGGGTGCCATATTCTTCAGGTATCAACCGGATGGCTTCTGGACCAGAAGGGCAGCAGTGTGGAAGTTCCAGCCAAAGAATGAAAGATTCCAGTACATGGTAGCAAAGAGTAAGTGTAGATCTGTTTTACTGAGCCCTTTAAAACACGGAGAAGTTAATCAAACGGTATTGCAGAACGACTAATGAGTACTTTCATCAAAGGAGGTTTGCTTAAGGCGGAAGGGAAAGGAACCACGGCAAACATCCTAAAACAATTCCTCTCAATGTACCGTCTGACTGCAAATCCACCGGAGGGTAAATCGCCTGCAGAGACACTCCTCGATACACTTTGATCTTCTGAAGCCTGCAAAGTGGGAGGTGGCCTCAACAAATCAGAAACTGGAGTCCTACTATAATCGCAAGCACGGTGCAAAGTGGCGACATTCTGACATCGAAAAGAGCGTGTCGGTAAAGGACTATCATGGTAATCGCGTATCCTGGAGTCAAGGCGAAATCACTCGGCGAATTGGAAATGTCATCTATGATGTTGAGGTTGCTTGGCAAACGTGGGTTCGTCAAGCAAATCAGTTGAAACAAGCTTATTCACGACCCGCTGATAGGGTGAATGTGCTCTATCTGAAGGTTCGTTTGGCTAGCCTAAGGTGTTACAATTGGAAACAATGAGTCAGCTGGTCGTTGGCTTGTTCGCTGAGCTGGGCAATTTGATAGCAAACGTTTCATCACCAGTCGAGGGGACATCATCAGTGCGCCATTGGGGAGCGTAGTGATACGTAGCGGTGGATTAGTGGTTGTGAAACGTTTGCAATCAACCAGCTCAGTGAACAAGCCAACGACCATCTGCGCTACCTGAGCTACTAACATTTTCTTCTATAGAAAATGGGTGAGCTGTGCGAGTTTTATGCGGACAGAATCGAGTGTGTACAGGGACTGTATACAGTAGTGTATTTCTGTATACTTTGATTCGGATTTCAAACAGGGTAGCTGGTTCCTTCGCGTTGTATTTCAAGACTTTTACGGTCTGCATCAGTTTCCTCATTCCCAAATGTATCCCGATCAATAGTCAGTTCTCCAGAAAGTGGTTTCTTGAAAAACACCTGTGCTCTAAGGAATTCGCAAACTGGTTCATATCGGATAGATTTAGTCTGGGGTGCCGAATGTTTTAGCTGTTCAGTGAAAACTCCTTTTTCACTGAAAAGGGTAGAATTTTAGAGTGTAGGATGCTCTTGGCACAGACGTTTCCATGGTAGCTTGGCCGTAAGGTATTTAGCCACACAAGAGTAATTGAACAATTCCGCCAGAGGGACGAGATTAGTCAATGCTGTTAACGCGGGCCACGTGATGTCACACAGACGATTTGTCATACGGGGGCAAGAGGGAGGCTGTCAGTCCATCAGACAAATCATTTACATTTCAGCACTGACTATACTTTTTTTGTCAGCGTGCTTGAAATTCGAGAATATATGAGCTTGGTCCACTATCCTCTTTGTTAAACTCCAAATATCCGTGACAAATGTCGACCAAAGTCGGCCTTTTTAGGTGTCATTACAACCACTTCGTTGGATTTGAAATCGAATGACTGACTGCTTTGGGAATCGATCCTCATAAGACCACTGCTCCGCAGTACTAAAATTTAACATCGAACGCATAACGGCAGTATTCATCACCGGTACGTATGAAAGATCTCATCACCTTTGTCTAGCTCACTCGGGCAAGTTGTTTTCTAAGGGCTGAATAGTACTTTTCCGAGGGTATCGATTGTTTATCACGTGTTGTCTTACCAATAGGCACAAACCCGTTGCACTATTTTGCCACCGTCTTTCATCGACCTGATTCAGTTCTCTCAGGAACGTGATTCCCGCAAGACGCTGTCTCGTTGCCTAGGTGCATCTAATCATTTAAGTGTGGTTTGCCCAAGTCAACGACACATGTTCTTGTTCACGTCATTCGTTGAGTCATCAAAGCTGTTCCTCGTATTCTTCGCCTGGTTACTCACCGCAACTCCGACAGTCTGGTCAACACGACAGTACGACACCTTACTAAAATGGACCAGGAATTTATGCACCGCAGAACGAGCAATATGTTCACGTTAACTCGACATTCTTCTGTTTCCGTTACTCTACTCACTCAAGAATTGTTGCCCTACTTTACCAGTGTATTCAGAATAATACAGTAATATAAATTATTGTCAAAGTTTTGTTTTTCCACGGCGTACCGCGGCGCCCGCTTGACAAGAGTGGAGTGACGAACGAACGTGAGTTAGTGAACAATACTTTTAGTCAGAAACACCCTGACAAGAAGTCATTTATCCAAGGTAATGCCCCATAACACCTATTCTTTGTACTGACAACTTTTCAATCTTTTTTCCAACATTTCCTGGGACCATAAAACGAACAGTTCAATGATGATTGGTTCACTAGCGGGTAGTGATCGGACAACATTGTGTTCTTGTCCTTGAACTACCCAAGTCCATATCTTCTTTGGAGTTGACTACCACTTGCCATTTCGGGAACAAGTACTCTTGTTTTTTATCAAGGAAGAGTAAAAAATCTCCTTTTATACTCGAAGATAACGTGATGGAAATGTACTTTAGAGTTGTTTTGAATTTTTTTTCGCTCGCTGTCGCACAGTGGCGACAGACCCATTAGCAGCACCGATGTATTGTCGTCAGATACCAAGGGGCTCTGTGGGATATGACTTAATTTACTACGTTCGTTCGGATAATCTGAACCACAAAGCTGCATATACAGTTGGAATGCGGACTGAACGTCATTGAACGTGCAACGCAGGGTGAACTGCTGCGCGAAGCCCGGTTATTTATCGATTTTCCAATAACGACTACTGTTCCTTGCAATATTTAGGTACTAAAACGGGTATACTGACCATTCAAGGAAGTCCCTATCAGATCAGTCGACGATAACTCTTCTATCGTACGCTGAAGTTTCACAATTAAAACCGGCAGTCTGTCTGGTTGAGGAGAGTTGTAAGTAACTCCTAATGATATGGTTACTTTCCAACTCTCACTGTGAAGTAGGATCCGTTTTCACGGATCTGGATGAGGCCATCAAAATGCCGGTAACTGTTTTTTACCTTTCTTGGCATATCGGTCACTAACTAGAGCCGAGATTAGGACCAAGAGTGTGTCGATAATGAATCTATTCACAACGCGCATGCTTAATGATCGGTTGATTCTTGGTGTCCCCTTTGAGATGGGGGTGGGGACATCATCGTTCCATCGGCACAGATCGTTGAAATTGATATCCGGAGAGCGGTAGTATGTGGACCGCACCACACCTGCTACCGATGCTTTACGATGATTTTGGCTCTCTCGGGAACCAATCAAGTCAATGTTAAGGTACACTGGTAAGTAGAATGTTTCGTTCAGTTCATTTTGTCATCGGTATAGCATCCATTTTTTGCTACGACACTAAGACACTACGCGAGTTCGGTACGCTGCGACTGCCATTGCTTCAAAAGCGTCCACATATGCGACCAAATGCAGTGCCTATCTGGACAAATCGACCATGCATTCCGCCAAAAAGTCTGTGGACATGGCTAGAGAGGAATAAAACACATTAAATCGAAAAATGCGTTCGAATTTGTCCGATATTTCTTCGTTCCTTTACGAATGTCATCCAAATTTTCAACACTTTCCATATTTAGGAACACATCTTGACCATAGAGGTGTGGCACTTGGAGCACTCGATGGCATAGCCGAAGTCTTCACAAAAATCCGCCTCTACATTTTCGCCTCCCTGGTAGATTTTCACAGAAGTCACATGGTCATCTAGCGTGACGATTACAACTAGAAGGAAAACGTATCCGATGTTGCGAATTTCTTGAGTGCCAGGCCCATAAAAATGCCTTTTTTAATCGGTCTTTGAGTTAGAACTGCGCTCAAACGTGGTGAATAGGACCGAAGCATATAACTTGTTCCCAGCATTCCAGAGCTAGCAACTGAATCTAGTGAATCGAATATGCAAAAACTGAAGACAGAGTTTGAATAGGGATTGCTTTCCACTATGCGTGAAGGAAGCTTTTCTCCGTAGTCCATCTTCGTCAACTGAATAGATGGCTTCTGGTTAGCTAGACATTGCTGGGCTGAAAAGGTGGATCTGAAGTACATTTGGTCGGTATCCTCAAAACGGTTTCTTTTGTCGGATCATACAGTCTTTTAGCTGACGAAGTCTTTTGTTGGTTGGATAACTACTCTGTCAAGCATGCTGTGTTATTGGTCACTTGGCCACCTTCCCATTGTTGTTACACCACAAACTCCTCGGATCATTTGCAAGAAGACACTACAATGAAGTAAACAGTAATTCCACACTTACGAGGGAACTAGCCTTTTTGAAAAAGACTTGTTGTTAACCGTGCGACAAAAATGTGGGCCAAATCTTCCGTAGCTGAATGTCCACTATTTGGTATCATTCACTAATCTTCGGAATGCAACCAATTTGGCACAAATATGTGTTGGTGGAGTCCTCTTCAGATTCATCGTTGAAGATTCCTCGGCTGATGTATTGCCTTATCTTTTGATGGGTTCGGGGTGATGCTCTCCAGCTGAAACGGTTTGTACTTACCCTCACCTGACACTGCTCATGAAGTCGATGACGAATCCACTTCTGCCTTCATGAAACTCGCCAGATAGGTCTAGTCCTCAGATTTTTCCATCATGCTCGAACACCAAACTGCTCGTAAGTTCTTTCGCTTTCTATCGCGTAAGGTTGTCACTGTGCTGTCAACAAGCATGCATAAGTCATCTTGTTAAATTTGCCCTAACTCCAAAGGAACTCATCAAAGTCTATCTCTGCCGGCACTTGATCCTTCCTAGAAAAGACCTAACCATACAAAGTCGTCAGAATCTGTATTGTCTCTGCCAAGTGACCACAAAGGTCAGTTAATCATAGTTGTATGCCTAAACCGGACGGATATTAGTAATTAGCTGGCATCATCATCATCGACAGCATGACATCAGTGTTCAACACCGATGCCTCACTGCCGTACAACCATGATCTATTTGAAAGCCTTATTGTAAATAAGAAATTCAGCTGACTCTAATCAGCTAAAGGTGATCTTTTGGAGGGATTCCCGCTTGTCGTCAGAATTAGTGTCGACACTGTCGGTATTGATGCTTTCCTGTCATGCCAGGAACTTGGTGTTAGCTTACCATAATCATTCCGAGGTGCCTACACCTCCAGACATTCACTCACGCGATCTGGATAGAAAATGACAATAAGAACGCCACTGACGTCGGTTGGCAGCCATATACTGTAGTGTCTCAAACCAGGCACAGTGAGGATCACGCGGTCCCCATCCTGGAAGGCGAGTAGCACCGACAGNATGGAAGACAGAACTCTCTTCGGCAAACGATGGTTCGGCATACGCAACACATGTCCCAACCAACGCAGGTTCTTCAAAGGAAGTACCCACTGCACAACCGAAAACGCACTTTCTAACTGTCTCATTACGGATTCGCCGACACCAACCAAGACAAGCTATTGTTCTGAGAAAACGATTGTCGAACACCTGAGGACGTCTCAGTTCCGCTTCTCGAATAGGCCAAGCCTCACTTCAAGTAACTGCCAGTAATTAACTGGCAATCCCTTTTGTTCCCCAAAACGTCG